TTTTTGTCTTCTCCACAACCACCATTCTATTCCACCATATAGTGTTATATCCATGGCTCACGCTCATATATTGTGTGAAGATTGAAAAAGTTTGAGAACATCAAAAGTATGAAACAATTGCTTGGCTTGTCATCGGGGTTGTGCATGATTTAAATATTTTGTGTGGTGAAGATAGAACATAGCCAGACTATATGATTTTGTAGGGATAACTTTCTTTGGCCATGTTATTTTGAGAAGACATGATTGCTTAGTTAGTATGCTTGAAGTATTATTATTTTTATGTCAATATTAAAATTTTATCTTGAATCTTCTGGATCTAAACATTCATGACACAATAAAGAAAAATTACATTGAGAAATATGTTAGAAAGCATTCCACATCAAAAATTCTTCTTTTATCATTTACCTACTCGAGGACAAGCAGGAATTAAGCTTGGGGATGCTTGATACGTCTCCAATGTATCTATAATTTTTGATTGCTCCATGCTATTATATTATCTATTTTGGATGTTAATGGGCTTTATTTTACACTTTTATATCATTTTTGGGACTAACCTACTAATCGGAGGCCCGACCCAAATTGCTGTTTTTTTGCCTATTTTAGGGTTTCGAAGAAAAGGAATATCAAACGGAGTCCAAATGGAATGAAACCTTCGGGAACGTGATTTTCTCAACAAACGTGATCTAGGAGACTTGGAGTGGGCGTCAAGAAACAAACGAGGCGTCCACGAGGCAGGGGGCGCGCCTACCCCCAGGCGCGCCCTCCACCCTCGTGGTCCCCTCGTTGCTCCACCGACGTACTTCTTCCTCCTATATATATCCACGTACCCCCCAAACATTCAGGAGCACCACGAAAACCTAATTCCACCGCTGCAACCTTCTGTATCCGAGTGATCCCATCTTGGGGCCTTTTTCGGAGCTCCACCGGAGGGGGCATTGATCATGGAGGGCCTCTACATCAACTCCATGGCCTCTCCGATGATGTGTGAGTAGTTTACTTGAGACCTTTGGGTCCATAGTTATTAGCTAGATGGCTTCTTCTCTCTCTTTGGATCTCAATACAAAGTTCCCCTCGGTCTTCTTGGAGATCTATTCGATGTAATCTTCTTTTGCGATGTGTTTGTCGAGATCCGATGAATTGTGGGTTTATGATCCAGTTTATCTGTGAACAATATTTGATTCTCCTCTGAATTCTTTTATGTATGATTGGTTTATCTTTGCAAATCTCTTCGAATTATTAGTTTGGTTTGGCCTACTGGATTGATCTTTCTTGCAATGGGAGAAGTGCTTAGCTTTGAGTTCAATATTGCGGTGTTCGATCCCAGTGACAGAAAGGGAACCGACATGTATTGTATTGTTGCCATCGAGGATAAAAAGATGGGGTTTATATCATATTGCATGAGTTTATCCCTCTACATCATGTCATCTTCCTTAAAGCATTACTCTGTTCTTATGAACTTAATACTCTAGATGCATGCTGGATAGCGGTCGATGTGTGGAGTAATAGTAGTAGATGCAGAATCGTTTCGGTCTACTTGTCTCCGATGTGATGCCTATATACATGATCATACCTAGATATTCTCATAACTATGCTCAATTCTATCAATTGCTCGACAGTAATTCGTTTACCCACCGTAATACTTATGCTCTTGAGAGAAGCTACTAGTGAAACCTATGGCCCCCGGGTCTATCTTCTATCATATTAATCTTCCAATACTTAGCTGTTTCTATTGCCATTTATTTTACTTTGCATCTTTATTTCTCTTTATCATAAAAATACCAAAAATATTATCTTATCATATCTATCAGCAGCTACCTCCGCAAACGAACGTGGATCTCCACCCAGTTCAAAATATGCCCTAGAGGCGATAATAAAGTGGTTATTATTATATTTCCTTGTTCATGATAATCATTTATTATCCATGCTATAATTGTATTGACCGGAAACTCAAATGCATGTGTGGATACATAGACAACAACATGTCCCTAGTGAGCCTCTACCGGACTAGCTCGTTGATCAAAGATGGCTATGGTTTCCTAGTCATAGACATGAGTTGTTATTTGATAACGGGGTCACATCATTAGGAGAATTATGTGATTGACAAGACTCAAACTATGAACGTAGCATATGATCATATCAAGTTTATTGCTATCGTTTTCTGCATGTCAAGTGTATGTTCCTATGACCATGAGATCATGCAACTCACTGACACCGAAGGAGTACCTTGTGTATACCAAACATCGCAACGTAACTGGGTGACTATAAAGGTGCTCTACAGAGTTGGCATGGATCAAGACCGGGATTTGTCACTCCATATGATGGAGAGGTATCTTAGGGCCCACTCGGTAATACAACATCACAACAGGCTTGCAAGCAATGTGACTAATGAGTTAGTCACGGGATCTTGTATTACGGAATGAGTAAAGAGACTTGCCGGTAACGGGATAGAACTAGGTATGGTGATACCGACGATCGAATCTTGGGCAAGTAACATACCGATAGAAAAAGGGAACTACATACGGGATTGTCTGAATCTCTGACATCGAGGTTCGACCGATAAAGATCTTCATAGAATATGTAGGAAAGGCATCCAGGTCCTGCTATTGGTTAATGACCGTAGAGGTGTCTCGGTCACGTCTGCATAGTTCTCAAACCCGCAAGGTCTACACACTTAACGTTTGATGACGATATAAGTATAGTCGAGTCATTATGGTGGTTACTGAAAGTTGTTCGGAGTCTCGGATGAGATCCCGGACGTGACGAGGAACTCTGAAATGGTCCGAAAATGAAGATTGATATGTAGAACGAAGGGTATCGGAGTCCGGAAGTGTTCCAGGGGCACCCGGTTATGGCCAGGATGATCGACAGGGGTTTCGGGGGCCCCTGACAAGTGTTGAGGGGGGCTCATGGGCCAAGGGGAGGGGGCACACCAGCCCACTAAGGGGCTGCGCGCACCCCCTCACCCATCCCACGTAACCAGAGGAGGTGGGGGCGCCCCCTAGGGCTGCCCACCCCTTTGCCTTGGGGGCCAAGCCTCCTAGGTGGGAGGCGCCCAAACCCATCTAGGGTTTCCCCGTTGTGGCCGCCCCCCCTCCTCCCCCTTCCCTCTATATATAGAGGGGTAGAGGGAGGGCAGCCGCACCCAAGTACTGCCACTGCGCTGCCCTTCCTCTCCCTCGTAACCCTCTTCTTCTCTGTAGTGTTTAGCGAAGCTCTGCTAAGATTCCACCACCGCCGCCGCCGCCACGCCGTCGTGCTTCCGGAGGACTCGAGCTACTACTTCACCATAGCACGCTGGATCGAGGAGGTGAAGACATCATCAAGCCGTATGTGTGTTGAACGCGGAGGTGCCGTCCGTTTGACACTTGGATCGGGAGTTCGCGGGACGAATCGTGAAGACGTTCGACTACATCATCCGCGTTTCTTAATGCTTCCTCTTAGCGATCTACAAGGGTATGTAGATGCAATCTCTCCTCTCATAGATGTTCATCTCCTAGATTGATCTTGGTGAGCGTAGGAAATTTTTTGTTTCCCATACAATGTTCCCCAACACACCCACCTTGCCTTTCCACCATCTCAAATCAATTGATGGGCTAGATCTAGGGTTTTTCGCCGCTGTCCAGAAGTGGGAAAATGCGGTTTCTAGGTCAAGCACAGGAGGCGGTGGGGGGATTTGATATCACTGTGATGCACCCGTGGGTGAGAATGGAGGATTGGATGTGCTCCCACTTGTTGAGCATCCGCCATGGATGGGTAGGTAGGAGAGGTCAGGCTCGCACTGCCCAGAGACTGGTTACCCGTGCACCTCCCCCCGTCTCGCCCGTGTACCGCACCCACATGCCCCGTGCCCTTCAATGTATTCGCCGGCGATGAGCTTGCCGCCGTCAAGCGATCACATACCTTTTGCAGTGACATGGGAACGAGACGACATTGCCTATATCGACTGACTCGCCCGCGCGCAGGGAGCGCGCATCGATGATGACGCCTCGCCCGTCCATGAGTATGAGTCGAAGCGCCTCTCGTCGGAGGAGGAGCTCCCTGTCGGAGAAGGAGAGGGTGCGCGCCATGAGATCGGCGGCCAACGAGACACGCCATTCACACGTCCCGCACGTCGTGCGCCATCGCTCGCCGCCAAGGATTAATTTGTGGTGGTAGTTGTGGCGATGGCTTCAGATATTCGCTTTATTGATCAAGATATTACTCCCTTCGTCTCATAATATAAGAGCGAGTGTCAAAAATGCTTATATTATGGGACAAAGGAAGAGCGAGTGTCAACAACACTCTTATATTATGAGACAGAGGGAGTAGCTATTATGCTTTGTTTTTCATGCCACCTACAAACAAGACCAAAAGGCATGAAGGCTCGTTCTGAATTTGACCAGGAGCCTTTCTGTCAGCTCACTACGGATCAAGTAGTGCTGCTACAGCAACACATGCCTCGTGATCATGACGTACACCTGCTTCTCTATTCCATCCAGAAAAATGAGTATAAACACTGCATGCATTCATGATCTTTTTTACAGCTCTCAAAAGCCAAGAAAAACAAGGATCTCACGACGCGAGTCTTGTCGTTTTCTCACAGCAACCAAAAATAATGGAAGAAATTGTCTTACAATGTACAGGAAAAAATTCTGGGAAACACTCGCCATTTCTATCTGGCAGCATATATCTGCTTTGGCCGAAGTCACAGATTGGATTTCAGATGGGACAACGGCTGATACTACCTGCCCATTGTATGAGTTATGTAAGGTATGTTATTTTCTGTTATCATTTTATCTGTATGGAGTCAGTGAAACATCTCACTTTCTGCTGCCTGCAATCTCTTCCTGACTTGGTTTATACTGCAAAAAAGAGCACCAATTGGCTTCACCGCATACGCTATCCTCTGTTGTCAACAAAGACTGACGTTGCAACGCAATTCAGGCTCAGCACTGGGCTTACAATTTCTCAAGTGTACCTCCCAATCCCATGAGGCATGAAGGCTCGTTCTGAATTCCACTCTAGTAGAAATTAAGATCAGTGTATCCATACGGGTTGATGTCGGTGTACCCATATGAATAGGGCAGCAATTCCTCGATGTCGAGTTGCGAGCTTGAAGAACTCATCTTCTGTATCCGGCTGTGATTGATGGACTCTACTTCTGCACTGAACATGCTGTACACAGGTCTATGGTCAGAGAAGCGCGACTCTCCCCGGACATAGGATAGTTGGCTAAGGCCTCTCCCGTACCACAAAATACGGTCGCACCTGTACAAACAGATCACTGAGTTTCCTTTCTAACTGTACATAATCTGGCAAAACATTATGCAATGCAACAATGTGCTTTAAATTACCATACCATGCAGGTGTTCTCTTCTTCTCCTTCTGATTCATGTCTTCCCCTGCATATTTGTCAGAGTTATTCGAGTATTTGTATGTCGGCGGGAAGTATATCCTCCCCTCATTCCAACCGGGGAAGACGCGGCCGCCTCTTTGCTCGCTCCTCAGCTGAAACCACCGGCATTTCATGCCTCCTCATCAGAAGTCTACTTGACCTTTTGGCTTTGTAACATTAGGTAGGTATGTGCACTGTGTTCATGAGTGAGTTGTTGCTAAGCTCTCACCTGATCTTTCTCTAACAATGCTTTCCAGTCGCGCATCTCCACAAGGGCCTTCACTGCCCGGTAAGAAAGCGCTATCCGGTAATTCAGGTCCCCAAGCCAAACGATTCGACTATGCAGGAAAACAATATTTCATAAGAAAATGCAACTGCAAGTTGCTATGAAAATTCCTATGAGCTCAAACTGATCTGCATTGCTTACTCATGCTCTAGGACAGTTTCAGCCGATCTTTCATATTGCCCATAAACCATTGGAAACCTGGTTTTTCTCAGGATTTCCATGACATCAGAATTCCGGCGGTGCTCGTCGCCGTCCTTGTGCCCTGATGTCAGGTGACTGCAGACGAAGCAGAAGCTCGTTTGGTGCAATAGCATGCTAACGGAAATCGAGCCCTGGAAAATAAACCCTTAATTTCTCATCGATCGAGTTCCAAAGCTACCAAAAGTGTAATGTTTTCCTCGAAATTCACTCATGTCCTCACCTTGTTTCCAAGATACCCCATCAATCCTCTGCCGACACAAGAGACCTTGAGATTCCGTATGTCACTCTTTATTTCTCTCCTAGCCCAAACCATGAGGAACAACCCAACCATTTGCTTGCTTGCAACAAGGCAGTACCTACCAGGTTTTCACCAAAGAACAAGAGCACTAAATCTCATCAAAACAGAGGTGCAATTTGGAAAAAAAAATTCAAAGGGATATACTCCAGTTTAATTAGCCATGAATGGACTGAGCTGAATACTATTTTTACCTCGTGTGGCCAGCAGCCGTCCCATTGGTTTCTTCCACGTACGGTGGCGCATTGCCGTACCCATACGACATCGGCGAGAACACCGTGCTGGGCGACTCGCCGTCGTTGTTCTCGTCCTCCCACCGGTGGTAGTTGGCTTCGTAGTCGCTCGGCCTGCTGCCGTACATGACGCGGTCGTTGACGCTGTACCGGCGGTCGAGCCTGGGGGCGAGGATGTCGCCCTCCATCCTCAGGCTCCGGCTGCGCCCGGCCTGGAATGACCGACGGTGGAACAAGGACGGGTTGTCCCGCCTCGACGACCCTTGGAAGTCGTCGTCCATCTCCACCACCACGTTGGGCGCCGGTGACGGCGTATGCAGAGTCGCGCTGCCGCTGCCGCTGCCACTCCCCGGCATGCTGTTCAGCGTCCGCCGGACCAGTGACACCCACTTGCGCGCCGGGCCGTTGTCCTCGGCGCCCAGCACGTTGCCTGCGTTCAGCGGCACGATCTCCTGGAACCTGCGCAAGGAGGGGCCGGCGGCAATTCATTCAAGCCAGGTTCTACCAGTGCTCGTGCTCGTGCTCGTGCATTGGACGGATGTACGTACCCGAGGACGTAGATGTCCGCCGGCGGCGAGGTGTGGAGCCAGTCGTGGAGGCCCAGGGAGCAGGGCGGCGCGCGACCACCTAAATTCCACGTAGCAACAAAGATCCTACCTCAAGACCAACCAAACAAGGACGTCGGCATCATTCACGGATGGGGAATTGGGATCGAGTTCCCAAGAAACGTGGCGGCCGGAGAGATAGCTGGTACGTACCTGTAGTCCAAGGTGACTGTGGCCTCGGCGGCGTCGAGGTCGATCTTGCTCCGCTGCGACCGCTCGTGCGAGCTCCTCCTCTCTGAGATCCAAATCACACAATGCAGTAGTAACAGGTAGAATCGCACGCAGGTCAGACATTTAACCCTGTCCGATCCAACCATTATACACATAAATGCGATTAAGTAGTACTAGTACTACCTGTCCTGCTCTTCTTGACCGTGCAGGATTCCCGCCTGGAAAAGCTGCCGCTCATCCACTCGCTGTCCCCTCCTCCTCCTGCAACCACGACAGTTACTACTCCACAAGTGGACGACGAGTAAATAAATACTCCCTCCATTTCACAATGTAGTGCTTCTTCTATTTCTGTGCTTCAACTTTGATTGTAAATTTAACTATCAAGACCGATTGTGGCGGGAGCAAAAGTTATATCAGTGAATTCGTATTCGAAAAAAGTTTTTAATTATGTAATTTTTTCTCCCGCCGCAGTCGGTCTTGTTCGTTAAATTTATTGTCAAAGTTCGACCTCGGGAAGTACGGGCTCACTATATTTTGGAATGGAGGGAGTATGGGACGGATTAAAACACTGGAAACAAACCAGAGGAGCCTGAAAACGAGCCGAGGGCTTTGTCTATTAGCAGCAGCAAAAGAACTTGACAATGGGACGGAGGAACAGTGGAGTTGTAGTACAACAAGAAACAAAAGAGTGATCTCACAGACGCAGACAAGGGGTAGAAGAGACTGCAGACCAACGGGTGGCAGTGAAGGACCCACAAGAACACACAATGGCAGCACAGGGACGGGTTCATGGGCCATGGATCTTTGACTAGCTAGTGTACTGTGCAGTGCTTACGTCTCCTGCCAATGGCAGCAGCGTCATCGGCATGGAAGTCATGGGACTTCCCCCTGATGTTGAACCACTTCCTCACGAGGCTCTTGGAGTTAGACCATGATAGCTGCACAACAAGGGCGGAGGAAGAACCAAATTGGAACCAAATCCCTGACTAGCAGCTTAAAAAAGAGTCGAGGATTGGGACACTCACCTTGCTCTTCTTGGTGCCATCTCCCATCGTTCCAGACCGGGGAGGGGGAAGAAGCAACGGAGAGCACACTCATGCAGGCGATTTCAAGAAGAAGAAGCTATCTTGGCGCTCCTGCAAGACGGCGTGCCAGGTGAGGCTAAGGTACTAGTAGTAGCAGCAGCAGGGGCGGCGGCGGTGGTGGTGGTGGGAGAGCCAAGGACAAGCAGGGCACTCTATTTGGCTTTCCGCGCACAGAGATCGTGATTTGACGGAAAGGGGGTGGGGAGGTAATTTGTCTGAGTGAAGATTGGAGGGAAATCGGATGAAGAAGACAGGATCGGGATGTGGGAAGAATCTGAATTGTTTGTGCCTGGCCTCCGAAGCAAAGTGTGGGGGTGGAGAGGAGACGAGCAGAGCGCGAGTGATGCCTGCTACCACTGTCACTGGCTGCTACTTCTAGGAGGTAAAGGCCTAAAGGACACTGGCTGTATTCGGGGGGAGAGAGGAAGAAAGAGTAACCGAGAGATTGGGAGAGTATAAAGCCATCCACAGCAGCGTGAGCAATGCCAAATCTGACAGATCACTACAATATAGCAATGGTACTAAATTTACCTCTCGTGTGCGGAAAAGAATTCTATGAGAATATGTCTCACGTGAGACCCATCCTGATGGATGACACGTGACATTCATAAATCACAAAGCATCCTCCACCTCTCACTTAAAATCAGGGGGGAGAAATTAGATGCTTTGTGATATGTGAATGCCACGTGTCATCCATCAGGACGGGTCTCACCTGCTAACCGTGAGACCTGGTCTCATATAATTTTTTTCCCTCGTCTGTTATGTAGCCGGTGCCAAACAAATTAAAGATGGACCCACCTCAAAATAAAAGTACATGTAAACTATTCAGTTTCTCTTCTCAGCCTTGTCTCTATAGGTGCCTTGTCTCTATAGGTTCTCACTCCTCCCACTCCTATGTCCACATATGATATTTTATTAGCTGCTCAAATTTGGCATGAGAAGTCCAAGAAACACCGGTTCCATATATTTTAGCTTTGGCACTATTTTCTACAATGTGTAGAAGGGCTGTCAAAATTCATACTAAAGTTAGTTTAAAATTGGGTCATCTATTTTGAAACGAAGGAAGTATTTGGCATTGATATTTAGCATACATTGTGGATGCTCTAAGAGCATCTCCATCCGCGTACCCAACAGGTCCCTTGGGAAGTCTTTTTTAGTGCCGGCGGTGAAAAATCGGCCCAGTCGCGCCTTCAGGTCCTTGTTTATCGCCTGTTTGAGCCGACATAAGTGTCGGCGAACCCGATCCGAACCCAGACCCCCGGGGGCGCCTGGGGCGCCGGCCGAAGCGAAAAGACATATGGGCCCGCTCTGTCGGCGATAGACAGGCCTTTTCCCGCCGTTTCCCCCCTTTTCCTCCATTTCCTCATTGCGCGCTCCCGCCATTCTCCTCCTGCGCTCCGCCATGCCGCCAAAGATGTATTCGGCCCCTCGTCCCGCTGCCACTGCCGATTCCACCCACCCAATGCAGAGGAAAACGAGGGCGCCGATGGAAAAACCACTGGGCGTGTCCAACGCCGAGTGGAGGCGGAGGTTCAACGCCGGAAGGCTGTCATCACCGACCAGCGGAACAGGCTCAAGGCCAAGAAGGCCAGGGACGCGGCAGCGTCAGCGGCAGAGCAGGCATATGCGTCTCACACGGGGATGATGAATCCGTCCGGCCACTACCCGCGGGCTACGTTGGGGAGCCAACAGAGCGTCGCGTCGTCGGCCAACTTCTCGCCGCCGCCACCCTGGGGGTACGCACCCTCGCCTGGCTACTTCGACGGTGACACGCATGGTAGGTTCGACCCCAACATTACCCTCCCGTATGGCCCGCCGCCACGTGCCTCCCCCTCCGGCCTGAACCCCGACCAGCGCACTCCCTCCCCCACGTTCGTTGGCCTCCACACCCAGTACAACTACTCGTTGCCGGCGTACTCAGCCTCCCTGACGCCGCCTTTGCGTCGGGGCGCTCTAAAGTTCGCTAAAACATCGGCGCCACATTTCGGCAACCCCGACGCGACCGACGCCAACATGGACGAGATCATCACGAGGGGCTCGGGCGCCGCCGCCTCCCACCCCGGCTTCCACGCGCAAGACGAAACAATGGACACCGCCGTCGACATGGACGACGACCTCGAGGAGGGGGAGGAGGAAGAGGAGGAGGAGATGGAGCCGGCACCGGCGAGGAAAGGGAGAAGGAAGAAGCGGCGCACAAGTGGACGTCCAAGGAAGACGAGTGCCTCGTCAAAGCATGGGAGACCGTCAGCATCGACCCGATCACCGGCTTGAATCAGAATGTTGACATGTACTGGAGACGCATCAAGTCGGCGTTCGATGAGCGCAAGCTGGTCAACCCCTACTTCGCCACCATCAACATGGAGCGCGGTGACAAGGCCATCTCGAATCATTGGGCGATCATCCAGGCAGTCTGCAACAAATGGCATGGGATCGTTGAGGAGATCGCGGCTCGCCCAGAAAGCGGTGCCAGCGTCGAGGGTCAGGTATGTCCAGCCGCCGGCTCACTTCTTTCACCATGGACGTCGTCGATACTTGTTCTTCGGCTGCGCAGATGGTTCAGATGTTCAACATGTATCGCCAGGACAGCAGCAACCAAGAGTTCAAGTTCCTTCACGTGTTCTCCCGGGTCGAGTTGTGCGAGAAGTGGAGGGAGGTCCGGCTCACCCTTGCCAAGGCCAAGGAGACGTACAAGCCGGACGCACCCGCCCAAGGGCGGCGGATGGGCGCCCTGATGGCAACAAACAAGCCAAGACGGCGAGGGACGTGGCACCAGCTGCCGAGAGGCTGCAATCATCGATCGAGCAATGCATCGCAGACGCCAAGAACAGCACCGCAAAGAGGGAGAAGAAATTCGACGCGTGGTGGTCGGCGTTGATGGCGAAGCAGGACGTGAAGCTCGACCTTCTCAGGACCAACGTCGTCGCGAAGAAGAGGAACACCGACCTGGAATTCTTAATGGGGGCGGACATGTCGACGATGGACGAGCAAGTCAAGGCGTGGTACCTGGCGGAGCGCGGCCTCATCTTGAACCAGATACCCGGGCTGGCGCCGACTACTGCCCCAACGCCCACGCTGACAGCAACGCCGATGCCCATCCCGATCGACGAAGCGGTGCCGACGCCGACCACCAGCCCGAGCATAGAAGCCACTCCGACACCGAGCAAGCCGACGCCGAGCACAGAAGCCACGCCGATGACGCCTGCGTCCATGTCGACCCCGGCCAGTCCCACACCAGAGGACCCTGCTGTTTGATACGCTCCGTGTCTATGCTTCCTTCCTTTTGATCGTCAAACTTTCGGGCATGTTTGATCACGGAACTGTGGCATGATGATTGCCGATTTGTGGCAATGATGATCACCGAACTTGTGGCGTTTTTTGTGACAAGTTTGATTTTTTTGGCGTTTTTGTGCTCTACTTACCCAGGAGTAGAAGACGTAGAGGCAGAAGACCTTCACGAGGAGGAAGAAGAGGCGCAACGGCGGGAGCATGGTCTCCCGGCTCCACCAGCGCAGCGCGTCCTCCCGCCGGTCCACCGACATCTCCGTGAACCGCTGCACGAACTGCGAGCTCCACGACAGGCACCGGGCGCCGCCCAGCGCGGGCATCCCCAGTCGCGTGCCCAGCAGCCACAACACCATCCGCACCAGCGTCAGCGCCTCCCGGAGACACATTGCCGACATCAGCTGCGCCACCTGAGCATGCGTGTACGCACAGAGTCAGCCGCCGGTTGGTAGCAAAACGTAGGTCGCCAAGACAGGTCATCGTATCATAGCTAGTCGCAGGTGTGTGTGTGTGTGTGTGTGTGTGTGTGTGTGTGTGCGCGCGCGCGCGTGTGCTACTAACCTCGTCTGGGACGGGCGGGTAAGCGGCGGATGCGAGGGAGGAGTCCCAGACGGCCTTGTCGTCCGCCAAGTAGTGGCCGTCGGGCGGCAACGACGGGACCAGCGTGCCGCAGACGGCGGTGAGCGCCATCATCTGGGTGTTTGAGAAGCCGTGCGTGTAGGGCTCCGTCCTCGCGCCTCCTCCCCACAGGAGGGGGTGGCCCTGCCTTCTTCTCTGCTTCTTGTCCTCTTCCATGGCGCCTTTCTGATGTTGTCACAGACTCACAGGGGTATGATGGAGCGTGGGTGGGTGGGTAGCGGTGAGGTGGGAGGTAATGGACAAGCGGAGTGTGGACTGTGGAGGTACCGAGGCTTTAACATTGGACGGATGGGATACGGACGATGGATGGGCGGCGACAAATTTGACAATTTTGACCTGTGAATGAAATTATTTCACAAAATGAATTGTTTTTAAAATAATTTCACTCAGCTGACCTTTTTGAGTGGTGCCCGACATGAAGGCGCCACACTACACTGTGCAACACCTGACTGGCAGGCGCTACACGCCTGGCCAACGTCGCACCTCGGACTGCCTAAAAATTACTAAGTCAATGTGCAGAGCCTAAGAGCTAGGCGCCACTGGTAGGACTAGGGTTCCTACCAGCTCTACTCCTTACGTTATAAGGGCAGAACAACGGGGGTGGGGGCAAGGGCGCGAGCTCCGGCGTGTCGGTGCTGTCGCGAGGGAGGAGGAGGGCAGCGACGGTTAGGGCTGGAGGCGACTAGGGTTCCGGCTCCTCTGGGAGTCGGGCAATAGGGATAGTAAATATCTTTATTGCTTAATATCAAAAGGTGTTTTACAACTAGTATTTATTGTTGGGGAACGTAGCCGAAATTCAAAATTTTCCTACGTGTCACCAAGATCTATCTATGGAGAAACCAGCAACGAGGGGAAGGAAAGTGCATCTACATACCCTTGTAGATCGCTAAGCGGAAGCGTTCAAGTGAACGGGGTTGATGGAGTCGTACTCGTCGTGATTCAAATCACCGATGATCAAGTGCCGAACGCACGGCACCTCCGCGTTCAACACACGTACAGCCTGATGACGTCTCCCACGCCTTGATCCAACAAGGAGAGAGGGAGAG